GAATCTGGATGACAGACCGATGTCCGTGCAAACAGTGGTAGTGGTGGTGGTGGTGGTGGTGGTAGTAGTAGTAGTAGTGGTCGAGTGGTGGTGGTAGTAGTAGTAGTAGTAGTACTAGTACTAGTAGTAGCAGCAGTAGTAGTTGTAGTAGTCGGAGTGGTAGTGGTGGTGGTGGTGGTGGTGGTAATGGTAGTGGTAGTGGTAGTGGTGGTGGTAGAAGAGGAGGAGGAAGAGGAGGAGGAGGAGGAGCAGCAGCAGCAGCAGCAGCAGCAGAGCAGCAGAGCAGCAGAGCAGCAGAGCAGCAGAGCAGCAGAGCAGCAGAGTAGCAGAGCAGCAGAGCAGCAGCAGCAGCAGCAGGAGGAGGAGGAGGAGGAGTAGAAGTAGAAGTAGTGGAGTAACGGAAATGCAATAGTGCATGTTACATGTTGTGGTCTATGTTGTCACCGATGTCGATGTCGTCGTAAGAGTTGCCCTTGCTTTCGTCGTTGGGTGGTTGCCGCAACGGTATCAGTTATGTTTCCTCCGACGCCTTCGGAATGTCTTGAGAAATCTAGGTTTAATCTGCAGATGAACAAGTTCGCGCATAGTTTCGGGTGCCGAGCAAGCACAACTGGGGAACCCTTCTGTTTTTGGTTGAGGCACGCAGCCAGGTGACTAGGACTAGGTACCGGCATAGATTTAGGGCCTTTAGGGTTTAGGGACAGAATCAGTGCAGGCCCTCGCTCGACGAAAAGTCTCGCGGGACACATCGAGAGCTCCAGGCAGCATGGGCTGTGATTGTCGGAGTTTCCGCAGTCAAACAACCAAACCTGCCCATTCTGTTTAATTGACGGCTGCTGCTGCCGCCTCCGTTTAACATCACCACCTGCACCGGTGTGGATTAGTGTGTCAGAGGGGTTTTGTTGATTTGGACAGCTTCCTGTGGCAGACGTTTGAGTTAGCTTTCAGGTGGTGGGGCCAGGTGTTTGCTGCAACGGATGGCCGATTGCCGGCAGCTGATTTGGAACCTGTGCTTTGGGATTCCGGTTCTCTTCATGATTCTTGGCTTCGCAGCTTCCGGCCTTAGCACCCTGCGCGGCGTGCCCTAAACCTTAGCCCTACACCCTGAAGCTTGTGAAGGCCGTGGAGCAGCTTCTCTCGAAGTTGTTGCCGCCTGAGCTTCGGGCAGCTGCTTCTCCGGTGGAGTCCGGTTTGTATCGCCTTAGAGATGTGTCTGGTTTGTCCTTGAATCTCGGCTTTTGGATCCTCCGGTAGGCCGAGGAGTGGAGGCATATTCAGCTTCAGCTAATGGTGGCGCTTTTGCACTGTTAGTGGTTTTGCCAGAGAGTGCAGCCGCATCTGACCCACGATGCCAACTTGTTCACCGACAGATTCCTGCACAGCGGTGAGGACTCCAGCAGAGCATGAGCCTTCGAGCACGGAGAGCAAGCCATTACTTCAGGTCTCAGGGAGTGACCATTCGGGGCTTCCCGCCGACAGTGTGAGACCTTGAGGCTCCGCCCGACGCTGCAGCGGCTGCCGGAGATGAATTTGAAACAGGCCCACAGCTTTCAGCTTTCTGGGGCTGCGTGGCTTGGAGCAGGTGAAGAGTTGCTGGAGCCACGTCACTGCGAGAGCTCCGAAACACTTCGGTTGGAGGTCTTGCTAGAGACAAGTGAGAGCTTTGTGCCACGATTTTTTAACAGACGACCTGGACCAATTTCGCCATTAAACCCCGGATTCATAAACCTGTTTCTGTAAGGGGCCAAGTGTGAGGATCCCTAGTATAGTCCCTATAGAGGGGAGGGGGGTTGTTCAGGTGTCTACAATACTTGTCTCTGACTACAACCAGTGGTTGATGCCGCAGCTGCACGATGCAGCACAATAATGTCAATAATGTTCGGATCGGAATGATTTGTAATACTATTCTTTTGGAGTTTCTCATTGTAGATATATCCCCAAACCCGATTCTGATCACTGAGGCCCATATATTTTTCCGCCAGTCTGGCCTGTAGTCGACTCCTTGGATTTAGGGGGACCGACCGATTTTCACGGTCTCAATGTTGAACCCGGAAGCTGCAAGGACATGGAAGCTGGAACCTGTCACACCTGATTACAGGTCACGTCTTGCCTCACGACACTGGCACCTCCCATCAGGTCTCCCGATGTTCAGGCCTCAAGCTATTCCAGGGCAGGGAAGGTTCGGGCTTCAACATTTGGACTCTTGCTTCTCAACACTTGGCGTTTCTCGATCGTCTGTGAATCTGCATTGACACTCAACATCACGAAACGCCGAGGTTCTCACGGAAACTGACCGTCTGCTCGTCCGCAACTCTGTCGCAGCGCTGTTTGCGCCCGAAGGCGCAAGCGTTGCTCAAACCGTGGTCTAGTTGACAAATTTGATCGCTTGAGGATTTCCACTTAGAAATACAAGTAAGTTGTGAGCAGTTTGGATTAGAAGTTCTGTAGTCGTCCGTGGGTTTCTGTCTGCCCCGCTGTTTTTCCAAGAAAGGGCTGCCAGTGGATTGTTTTCTACTGCTTTCCATGAGTATGTTCATTCTTGCGTTGCCTGTGGGCACAAGCCGCAGGTATGAGTCTTGCTAGTCTTATGGTGGACAGCGGTCTGAGTTAAGCGACCAAGGCTAAGTACCTGGTTATCTCTTCTGGTGAGAAAGCCTTCCGATCGTGTTTTTAGTAACCTGTTTTGCTTTCGCAGCTGCGGCCAAAGCCCACGATCGCTCGTTTGTTGGCTTTCCTAGACCCCCGTGTAGCAATCATTGATTCTTTGGCAGCTGAGGTCTGGTCGCAGAAGTTGCCTGAACTGATCCTTTGTGGCTGAGTACTGAATGTTGTAACCCATGCAATTCCACGTCCTAAAACCAATCTCGCTTTTCCTTTCTGGCCATGAGCAAACTGTTGCCATTACAGGAGCGTCTGCGAACGAGGCGGGGTCTGTATGCAGCACTCTTCGCCGTGATTTGTTGTTTGTGAGTCCGGGATATAATTCGTCTTGTTGACATTGCCTTAGTTTTCTCTCCTTTGTTGAGAGAGTCTTAATGTGGGAGTAGCAGTAGAAGACGCGCCTTTCGAAGCTCGGAAAGTTTTGACCAACTTGGATCGATCTCACAAAGAAGGTAGTGGCAGCAGTCTCTTGTATGATCATGATAATCAAGGACAGTTCCAGGATGATGCTACAAGCAAGAGATTGAGACTCAAGGCCTGAAGCTAATGGCTTAATAGCGGGATGATCACAACTTCGTAGCTAGTGATGGAGCAAGCGCAAGAGTTGCGGAAACGCGCCATCTGCAGTTCGAAAGCTGGGGCCTGGTAGTTCCGCCCGAAAGAGGAGCAGCCCGTCCCATAGAAACCACACTAAACATACAAACATGTGCAAAGACACGGCGTACGAGCAAGAGGAGAGGTGCTGTAGCAGTGGTAGAAGACGTTGTCGTCGTTGTCGTCGTCGTAGTACTAGTAGTAGACGGTGGAGTAGGCGTAGGAGTAGTGCTAGGTATAGTAGTATAGTAGCAGCAGCAGCAGCAGCAGCAGCAGCAGCGGCAGCGGCAGAGGCAGAGGCAGAGGCAGAGGCAGAGGCAGAGGCAGAGCAGCAGAGCAGCAGCAGCAGCAGGCGGAGGAGGAGGAGGAGGAGGAGGAGTCATGGTGGTATTGTTGTTGTTGTTGTTGGTGGTGGTGGTGGTGGTGGTATCAGTAGTAGCAGAAGCAGTAGCAGTAGCAACAGCGGCAGTAGCAGTAGCTGTCGTCGTCGTGGTCTCGTCGTCGTCGTAGTCGTCGCACTCGTCGTAATCCAGTCGTTGTGGTAGTGGCAGTGGGAGTGTTCTTGGCAGCAGTAGTCTCAGTAGTGATTTCCCAGAATTGCTGCTGGAGGCCCTTTGATGCTATCATCTCAGACTACCATCCCATACGCAGCCCAGCCTGCGGAGGAGAACTCGGTGGTCGAGGAAGGCTCCATGTTTTTGGAGGAGTGGATGAAGGCCCGCGGGGCAGGGGGGAGGGTCTGCGACTTCAAGGTTTGGTATTGTCCCGGAACATCGAACCCGCCGTTAAACACCAGGCGGCAAGTGCTTCTACCCCTAGATCCTAATTAAGTCCCTCAACCCCAATCCCCAAACCCTGCCCCTAAACCCTAGTCACCCAACCCGACTCCCTAACCCCCTAAACCCTAATCCCCAAATTCTAATCCCCAAATTCTACTGCCCAAGCCCTAATCCCAAAGTCCTAATCCCTCAACCCTGGCCCCTAAACCGTAAATCCCTCAACCCTAATCCCCAAACCCTACCTACCGAAACCCTACCCAGAGAGCCCACGACCCCTTAATTAAGGAACATACCATAAATCATAATATTAAGGTCCCTCTATAATTTAATGTATATTCCTTAATTAAGGGGTATTGGGCTCTCTGGGTAAAACCCTAAAGCCCTAAACCCTAAAAGCCCTGAACCCCAAAAGCCCTAAGCCCTAAAGGACTAAAAGCCCTAAACCCTAAAAGCCCTAAACCCTAAAAGCCCTAAACCCTAAAGCCCCAAAAGCCTTAAGCCCTAAAGCCCTAAAAGCCCTAAAGCCCTAAAAGCCCTAAAACCCTAAAACCCCAAAACCCTAAAAGCCCAAAACCCTAAAAGCCTTAAAACCCTAAAACCCCAAAGCCCTAAAAGCCCTAAAACCCTAAAAGCCCTAAAAACCCTAAAAGCCCTAAAAGCCCTAAAACCCCAAGGGACTACACCCTAAAACCCTAAACCCTAAAAGCCCTAAGCCCTAAAGGACTACAGCCCTAAACCCCTCATAGATCCCTTATAGATCCCTCATAGATCCCTTATAGATCCCTTTAAAAGGACTACTGGACTGCGGAGATCCAGGGCTTGAGCACCCCAGAAATCTTGGAGCTCGCCTGTGGCCTCCGCGAGGCACCTGGTTGCCAACTCTACGATTGAGGGTTTGGGGTTTAGGGCTTAAGGTTTGGGGTTTCGGGTATGGGGTTTAGCAGTTTAGGGTTTGGGGTTTAGGGGTTTAGGGTTTAGGGTTTGGGGTTTGGGGTTTAGGGGTTTAGGGTTTGGGGTTTAGTAGGGGGGAATATTACAACATAGGGGACTTTAGAGGTACTAGATTTCAGGGTCAGGTTTTCGAGTGGTACCCTAGAGTTGTGCCCTACAATCGTAATCTACTAGTACCCGATATTGGTACCCTTGTGAGCTTTAAGGCCAAGTTCAGCTTCCTGCCAGCCCCCTAGACATAGGCTGAGGAGTTGAGGGAGAAGCGACAGACTCCCATTCTCAAACGCTGGTTTAGCGAGAACCCTGAACTGTCAGATACGGCGTCTACGGTTGGTTTCCTGTCCTCGAGATCCAAACTGCAGCTCGACATTGCGCATGCAAGCCATTTGCATATTCCGTCGGTATCCAACCGAAGCTGCCGACCCTGAGCAGTATGCTCAGAACACGCCATTCGTAAGGACAGCAAAGACAAATGGGTACAATCGAAACAAGAGCAATTGTAGCAGTAGCACGTACGACAAGAAGAATGGGAATCAGCACAAGGTCGTAGCAAGTTGTAAGCAGATCGATGCTCTCGACAGGCTGGTCTGGGCCCTGGCTGGCCCTTGAACGCAATCCTTGCCACGGGCCCGGCATGGCTTGGGGACACCCGGAAGTATTCTTTGTGTCAACATTGCTATGGGTCTTGAGAGCGTTGCCGGAGCAGAGTCCTGGCCTTAAGACCAGGGCTTCAGCCAGAGTCGTGTTCCCCGCCATTTGGGCCGATCACTTATTGAAAGGCTTCAGGTCTTCGGATTTGGAGGCTTCAATCCGGGTCAGGACTTCACGTCCAAGCATTCAGGGGCTTTGCACTTCAGCTCTTCGGCTTGCTGCTGTTGCACATGAGAGTGTCCTGTGGCCCAAATCCCCGGTCCTTGTCCTCAGGATATGATACAACACCAACCGAGAGCCATGAGAGTCATCAGAGTCACATCAAGTTGCGTACTCCTCTCAGTCCAGACGAGCTCGGAGGTGGTCGGAGGGTGTCGATTTGTCGGTTGCCCCCTCAGAGAACGCAGTGCAGGCCGAGACCGATCGGCGCCTGGAACCCCAGGGGAAGTTGCCGCCCCGGCATGGATTGAAGCTCCGTCAGAAGGGCGGCACGGCCCCTTCCAGGGCTCGATATCTTTCTGAGCAGCGAATAGTGATGGCTGATGGGCTACACACGAACTGCGGCGCGGCGTCACTATTTTTCGACGAGACTTCTAAATGTTGACCGCCAGCTGCATGCCTCCCTGTTCCATACAAAATATACAAAAGCCATCGCATGCTATCTCCCCGCTGTCACTGCACGTTTCAATGTGAAACTTGCTATGCCAGAGAGTGCAGGGACAGGGGCTCTGATCACTCTACCCGCAAGCCCTACATCCTACAGCTCCATTCTGACCCAAGGGGGTAGGGAGGCAAGATTCTGGATACCTCATGAACATGTTGCTTGGCTTCATCGACAATTTCTCGCTTCCCGGCCCTACCTTCAGATCTATTGAAGCCATGAAGATGGCAGGAAGGGAAAGCAAATAGAGCTCTCTCACTTCCTGCTGCTTCGACTCTGCCGCGCCATGGACATGTGGCAGCTGGGCTTACAGAATTGTGGGTTACCCCTTCGGGTCAGGTCCCGTGTTCAATGCCAAATGCCGCCTGTTCCGGCTGGACCCATACCTAAGCAGTGCTCCCCACCTTTCAGAGTCTGCCTGAAGCCAGGCGTCTCTCAGATGTCAGGGAGACGTGTAGGCTTGAATTCTATTGACTACCTTCTTGAGACAAAAGTAGCATACAGTATCTTGCAATCATCCCTGCGAAAAGCTTGCCCTACGCCCGGAACGTCCGTGAACGTCTGAAAGCGAGAGCCGCCAGCCATTTCCAAACACCCAGCCCCGAGGCTCAACTCCAAACCGTGGGTCCTCAATCCCCAACTCACCTGCCAACCCCATCTGCGCCCTAAACCCCAAACCCAGAACCCTAAGCCCTAAAACCCCATCCACCCGAATTCACCCAGGCACCGGTGCGGCTCCGAGTTTCCCCGCGCTCACTGGGATTCTAGTGCAAGTCTCTTTGCGGTTCAACCTGGAGCCAGAGACGATGAACTTAGTCAGATATAACATAGTATAGTGTAGTATGTTAGAATAGAAAAGAATAGAACATAGTATAATATAAAGGAATCTTATATTCGCAATAGCTTTGCCTGGCTTTGCCCTCAACTGTCAACCTGATTTAAGCTCCGGTTGCCCGCACAAGGCACGAGGTGGAGGAGGTTCTCCGGTCCTTGCTGAGCAACCCGGAGGCAGGTGTTCGCATGCATGAATTCACTCTGCATGGCTTTGGAAACTCGACGTTTCGCACGAAGTTACTCTTTCTTCATGCATTGCGCTTTCTGCCCACGATGCAAGCTTTGGGTTTTTGTCACCGAGTTCGCCATGACACAATGCCGCAGCGTGCACCAGCCCAAGGAGCCCAAACAGGAGCTTTAGCAGACTAGGCCTAGGGCGGTCAAAGCTCCGGAGATTCGGACTGCCATGAGGTCCGCTTTAAGCCGCCCATCCACACTCCCTTGTCTTGCCAGGCGGTCAAGCCGCTGCCCACCGCATACTTCGTTGCCGTGCTCTCCGCCATCTGCAGCTTTCCCATACCCAAGGCTTGGAGCTCCAAGGCAGTAGACGAGCATGTTGACCGAACCCAGATCTACAGAACCGGGCACCCTGAAAGCATTCCACTTCGAAGAGGAGCTCCCGCTGCGGCTCGTAAGCTCCTTCCTGGACCGCGAGCAGATGGGCCAGCACACCGTCCAGCGCCGCGCTTTCATTGTCTGGTCTTCCCCCGATTCCATGCGCTCCCGAATTTTGATGTTTCAGTTTCTTTCCTTCCTTCCCTCCTTCCTTTCTTAGGTCGAGGACTCTTCGCACGTCGATGAACTCTTCAAGCGTTGAATGTTCCGGACATGATGTCCGAGTTTCAGGATTTGTACTCCTTGTAGGGTTTTGAGGCTGAGGTCATTCATAAGGATCATATAATCTATCTCCCTCTCTCGATCGCTCTCGCTCTCGAAGCTTCTCTCTCTCTCTCTCTCTTTTTCTCGCTCTCCATGTTTGGGTCTTTGAGGACCCAGAGAGCCCAATACCCCTTAATTAAGGAATATACTTTAAATCATAATATTAAGGTCCTTATACTTCAAGGTATATTCCTTAATTAAGGGGTATTGGGCGCTCTGCGGACTTCAGGCCGGAGCAGTGGGCTGAGATTCTCTGTGCCATCCGCCCCCTGGACGAGGTGTCCTGGGGCGGTTCTGAGGGCATCAATCCTAAACAAATGCCTCTTGCGAGATTTTGGATTCATCCTTCGGTTCCAAGGCCCCAGTTCGGCACGCTTTGCGACTGCATTTGCCTGTGTGCAGTCTTGTCATGGGAAGGTTATTTCTCGGGAGTCGGCTCGATCGATATCAGGATAGTCGGCCCATCAAAAACTCGCTGGTATATGTCAGTCTGACAGACCCTTGCTCCAGACTGCACAGCGCTATCTCCAGGCCACTAAAGTCATTCCAGATCCTACTGGTAGGTATCTTCTGTCGGAGCTTTTGTAAGGCTGCAAGGCCTCGGAATGCCCATCCCTGCCAGTGGCCCTCCTACGAGCGCATCACTCCACGACTCATTCAGCATCTGCTCCCGGACTTGCAAGGCCCGACACTGGGTGCTTTGGGAAGTTGTGTCCGGCTTTGGGAAGTTGTGTCGGTGCGTTTTGCAGAGGACCAATCTGTTCAGCCATTCACCCCCAGGCCTCAGCAGCTCTCGAAGAGACTGGGCCAGCAATTCCATTTCGATTGTTCTGCTTTTTCGCAGGTTTAGGCCGTTTAGGCCTTCGCAGGTGCTACCATTGCTCTGGTGCTGTCCCTCATAAAGTGCTGGGTACAAGCCCCAGCTGCATCTGCAGGTGTTATGCAAAGACACGGTCCATCGGTTCAGCCTCTTCAGCACACAGAACATACTGGGCACGGAATCCCTACCCCTACACGACGAAGTCACTCCACACCTCGAGATTCGCATACTAGCGAATTACTGTCGTTGCCACCCGACACGGATCGAAAGCAACGGATGGAGCTCGCGAGTCCTAAGTGACAAGCTCAAACTTTATTTGTTTATCACACCCGGCAGGCGAACATGTTCGGAAGGCCCTGAACTTAAGCCCGAGTTCTGGCTTTGGGAGGTCTTCCAGCGAACACGCTACTGACGGTGCTCAAGTCCTTGTCGGCGAAGCCCTTCAGTCATGTTGCAGCCCCGGTTCGACATTAAAGAGCTCGCAATGCTTGTCTAGTTTAGTATATTTTGTATATTATAGTCTCGTATAGTCTAGTATAGTATAGTATAGGATAGGATAGTATGGTACAGTACAGGGAGCTTGCTCCTGTTTTTCTTTCAGGGGCAGACTACATGGAGAATCTGGACTTGCCTTTCAGCTTGCCCGCACAGCCTGTTTGAGATGCTGCCTGGTGGCTGTGCTGTTCCTGCTGCGGCTTCTTCCGCTACTGTTCGCTGAAGTGTCAATGCTACTGCGTCGGTGACGACGAAGACCTTGCGCTTGCACATGGGTGTGCCCAGGCTCCTGGAAGTTGTGTCTCTACAGCACTTGGATTCGATATTGATAGAACAGATACGGGAAGGGTATCAGTAATGGTATGTTACCCAAAACCCCGAGAGCCTCGACCAAGCGATCTGCAGCATGCGACGGGTAGACGTCGACATACTCAGACAACTCGTTTCGAGGAAGATACGTCAAGCTGCAGCCTTAAACCCTAAACCCTAAGCCGAGGTGCTGCAGTTTGAGGCTCCGACAGCCAGACTCCCAGACAGCTTGCGCATAGGCAGCGGACATGTCGCCCGAGCCTGCCCTTTGAGTTAGACGGCACTGGGACATCCATAGTCTAGCAGAGTATAGTATAGTATAGTACTATACAGTATAGTACACTACAGTACAGTAAAAAATAATTTGTGCAGTATTACAGCCCAAACCCCTAAGCCCCTAAACCCCCAAGCCCCTAGACCCCAAAGCCCTAAACCCTAAACCCCTAAACCCTATGAAACCCCTAAGCCCCTAAACCCCCAAAAAACCCCCAAACCCCCTAAAGCCCTGCTCTGAAAGCCCGGGGCTCGCTCCTCGCAGAGGCCTTCGGGCCGCTGAAACGGGCTCCCCGCTCCTTCTCTCGGGCAGCAGCCAAGGCTCTGCAACTTTGGGGGTTTAGGGCTTTTGGGGTTTAGGGTTTAGGGCTTTTGGGGTTAGGGTTTAGGGTTGAGGGATTAGGGCTGTTGGGGTTTAGGGTTTAGGGCTTCTTGGGGTTTAGGGCTTCAGGGGTGTATGTGCTGGGGTGGTGTACATGAGATTTTGCAGTGCAGTCTGTGCTGTTCTATTCTGATATATCCTACAAATTTGATCATGTTACTTTGCGTTCGGTGGCTTGTGTTGTACTTCATGTTTCCAACTTTCAATGTTTTGATATGGGGTAGTACAGTAAGTATAGAGAAGTATTATACTTTGGTATAATGGAATGCAACGCAGCCTAATGTTACGTACATATGTTATGTCTATGTTATGTTTTGTTGTGTTATGTTGTGGTATGGTATGACATGTCATATCATGTCAGATCCTGTCCTGTCATGTCATGTCATCTCATATCATATCAGATCGTCCCTACACAGCTGTACCATTGAGTCTAGTCGCTCTTATGTGTTGTTAAGTAGTATTGGGTGCCAGTTTTCGTGTTTGGAGATATGCGCTTGCTTGTTGTGGGTTTTTTTTGACCACGGTGGTTTGGTAGTGGTAGCGGTAGTGGCAGTGAGCAGGAGCTGGAGCTGGAGCAGTAGCAGTAGCAGTACGAGCACCAGTACCAGCAGCATCGCCGCTGGTGGCAGTAGTGGTAGTGGCAGGAGGGAGGGATAGAAGGAGGAGGGGAGGAGGAAAAGTTGGCGCGGTGATAGTTCCGTTCGGCAGAACCTACTGTTGCTACCTTAGCTACATCAAATTGTTCCATCTTTTGTAATAATGGTATATCATGCTATAGTATATTGTAGTAACTCGTATATTGTAGTATATTCCTTAGTAGTATATTATATGTTATGTTACAGTGTACTTTTCCTAGCTCACTTTTCCGTTGGTTTGAGCGCTTCTCGACGCAAGGCCGTCCAGGATGGAAAGTGGGATCTCCGACAGGTGCGGCACTTCTGACAAGAGCTCTTATTGATAGTAATTATCAATCTTAGTCATTTTCTAGTAGTAGTAAACATGATAGTTATTATCCCAGCAGCAGCAGTAATGATCATAATAATAATCGTAATAATAGTAAGAGTACTCGTAGTAGTCATAATCGAAGCCAGCCCTAGGATAGAAGGTTGCTGCGAGACCACGCTTGTTTTTGACCCGGTGGCCTCCGTGGGGCCACTCTTCAATCCATGTCATCGTGCGTCCTGGCATGACTGTCTCTCGCTCCAAATCCCATTCCCTTACATCCCAAACTCTCAGCTATCAGAACTTTGCAGATACCTTGGAAGAGGTCTCCAGACTCGAGAACCTTCAAGATACCCTGAAAGAACCCTCGTGGTCCAAAAAGCCACCCTGCCCGAGGTCGTCGAAGCCTTCTCGGCCCTAAGCAAGCTTGGCTTCTACGAGGAGGGCTGTTGTTGGGGTAGCTGCTGCTGTTGGCTTAGAGCCTCGTTGGCGCCGACACCACGTGAGGAGGCGCCTGTGGCACAGCTGCCTGGAACTTACGATTTCAAGCGAGTGCTGCTTCCACCTGCAGTGCTGATAGCTCACCCCCAACCTAGAAGTATCCCAAACGCAGAAGTCAAGCACTTCCGAGATTAAGCTCCAGGCTCCGCTTCATCGCTGGTGTCTCAGATCGGCCACTGATGCCCGGAACCCCCATGAGCCAACAGTGTTCGAGCTCAGCAGCCCGTGCGAAAGGTTTCAGAGTGCACGGTTCTTCGGTCTAGGCTTTGGAAGCCTTTCGTGGGGATATCATGGAGGCGTCACGATGCCTCGGCTCCTGAAAGCCTCATATCCTCCATGCACAGAAGGAGAAGAGCATGCCAGATGCATGGTGCAGCATAGATCTGCAACAGATCACATCCTCTTCTTCATCTCCCATATCGAATCTCAAACTTCGAGTGTCTAAAGCTGCAACAGCAACGCGCTGACACCAAACATCTGGCTCCTTACCCATTTCTCCTAGCCACCATTTTGCCTTTGTCCCCTCGGCATCTGAGCTCAGTTGGATGCGCCCTTACTGGAGCCCCACACTCCGCTGCTGGTTCCGCTCGCAGGGGCACCAAGTGCACATCGGAAGCAAAAACCCTAAGCTCCAGTCCCTCGGGGCTGTGCCGAAGCCCCGAGCTAAGCCCGAAGTCTGTATCCCCAACAGCCGAGAGCTTAGCCAGAAGGAGGTCCGAGGACCTTCTGGGCTTAGGGTGCCAGGGTGTCCGTTCAAGGATGTGATTCTGGGATGTAGGATGCTTTGTTTCTTCGGCGCATTTGCCTGAGGAATAGTTGTTTATGGAATTCTGCCGTTCTCTTTCTCTCTCAGGGTTTTGCTCTTGCAGCTTGCCACCTACAGTAAGAGCCCCATATATCTCTCAATCAAATGCCAGGGTAAACCTGCTTGAGGTCAGGGGCGACATGAAACTTCGAATCCGGAGCCCTCCACCAAGCCTTTCAAGTTCAAGCTGCACCCGACTGCCGAACTCTTCATCGCCTCAGCCTCTGCCCTGGATTCAGGTCAAGGCGTGCACCGAGCTGCATGTACACCAC